CTGCATGCAGGAGCAGATCTGCCACAATGCCTCTGTCTCCCATAAGAAATTGTATACAGTGGAAAAGAAAAAGCAGGAGCAGCAGGAGGTAAAAAAGCCCAAAAATATAATGTATCACCAAGTCTGCAGCTAAGCTGGGCTATAGAGAATAACCTCTAAAATGATGATGTACTTTTCTATCTATTAATGAGGAAAGTTTTCACAAAAAAACCCTCATTCTGAATTGAAAGCACAATTCATAAATAAGACATTTCTTCACACTGAAGTTACTTATATAAGCAACATTTTCTGTATACAAAATAACGTATTTTCAGAAAGAGGTAACTTTCCTAATATGCAGTTTCATATTACAATATACAGCAATTTCTCTTGTTAATCAAGTGTTGGGAGTTACCAGTTAGTCTGTTAAGTTCTATCATAGCGAAGCTGAAAACAGACAAAAACATCTATTTCCACGCTCCAACAATGAATACAGTGACATTGCCAGGTCAATAGGAACCAGAGGCAGAAGTACCAGGTGAATTTTCTTTTCTTTTCAAAAAACAACTGAATATGACATTTGGGTACCCCAATCATACATAGAAGTTACACAACATTTTCAGAAAATCCCAGCTGTGAACTATTTCTGTCTGAGGGCAACCCCATCTTTATGCCTCAAAGACAAAAGTTATCCTGCACCAAGGGTGCAAATAGAAAACAGAACAGTTTCAATAGTGCCTGTCCCATATTAAACAAAATACTGTACCTGTACGAAATGCTGTGATGACCGTCATTGCTCAGTGTGTTATGATCAGGACCCTTCCAAGTAACTGAAGCCTTGGGCCGACCACAGACTTTACACCTAAGCACGATGGTCTCTCCTGTCTCACATGTTACCTCACTCAATGGTATTATAAACTCTGGGGGAACTGGAAAAAGAATATTAATGGCAGTAAGTCAAGTGAAGTTAATACATTTGCTTTTCTATTCCTTACACTCTATCTTCTACTAGACAAAGCAGTGCAGTACTTTAAATTCCCCAAGTGTATCTGTCCCTCTGCCCTTGGGGCACAGCCATGGTTAGGCCACTTGCTGGGACTCTGCAGAGCTAGTGCATTGTTCTCTGCATGAACTTGGACACAACAGCTCTGCTACATCATATTTAACCCTGAAGCCTACCGTGGTGAACCAAACACCCTGTTTATGGCAAGCTGAGGAAACTGCACAGGGGAAAGTATTTAAGGATGTGTTCAGCTAGGCTATTTCATATCCAGCTAAGTTTGCAAAAGGGAAAAAGAAACACCTTGGTCATCTGCTGAGGCACAGCAGTGTTTCCCCTTTTTGCAGACAAGTGAAACTCAAAAAGTTTGGTTCTGTGTGTTAAGATAAAAAACCTAATCTGGCTCTCACCCCAGAGGGCCACTATCTTTGTCTTGATCAGCCTCTGCACTGGAGAGGCCCTGAATGTTCCCTAGGGTGGTAGGTTAAGAAGCAAGCAGAACGGTCTCCAACTCTTGGCCTGGTCATTTTCCAAATTCAGCAAGGCCCAACTTCCATATACTCTCCATGCAACTGCAGGAGTGTAAATCTTTCTGAACAACATATCATATGGTCCTTGTGTTTTAATGTTTTCAACTTGCAAACAAAAATGTGTTCCTTGCATCTTAAGAAATAAATGTGACATATTTAATTAACTGTCTCCTTTATCCAAAAAGAGCCTATACGTATTTCTGTAGCAAACACTCAGTTCCTGATGTAATTAATTTCAAGGGAATTTAAACAACATAAACCATGTTCTACTCTAATTATATTTACTGTGACTTTTAAAAATTAAAGCAACTTACCATCATAAATGTAATTGGGGTTGAGAAGCTGGAAAGGAGAAATTAAAGAATTAATGCCCTTATACATTTATAAGAAAATAAAGAATGGTAGAAAACAAAGCACAGGGATGGTTTGAAGTGAGCTGTACCCACAAAGATCCAAAAAACACCTGAACACTAGAATTTCAGCACCAGTCTGCTCTTTCTGCAGCATCCTTCTGCTACATCATTGTGCTTACAGGCTCAAAAATGACACCTTCCTGCCTTGAGATTTGGCAAACGTTGTCCATTAGAACCACGGCTGCCTCCAGTTCCTTCACGTGAAATTCTGGCAGAAGCTACTTCTAAAGAAATCTCAACACAGCTCCTTTGGGAAACTCCTACATCTTTGTAACATTTACCTTGACAGAAACCTTGTTGGCAAGTCCTTCCCGGGATTTGCGGTAACCATTTTCTAGCTTGCCTTCCCTTTTGCCGTCTTTATCTTTTTTCTCAGATTTCTTCCTTAAACGGAGTGCTGTGTGCCAAGACGTTGACTTCCTGAATACAGAACAGGAAACCTCGATCAATTTTTTTCAATCCCAGGTTATGTGTTATTCTCTCTAGTTTGAAATGGCATTGACGTAATATGGCAAAATGTTATTTCATTGTATTGAAGCACATTAAGTAGTCTGTAAGAGATGCTACCCTTGATTAAACTGTAAGCAACTTAGTGAGATTAGTCTGCAGTTCAGTATTTCTTGAAATACTTGAAATTTCTTGAAAGTTGGTAAACTTTCTATATGAAAATAAACTGTCAATCCAACTGAGCAATGATCAGTATTAAATCTGTATCAAATACAGCCTAGAGAAGTTTTACATAAAGCTTTACCGCTAAGAACTTTGATATAATTTCTCCCACTGCAGATTTGAAGGAGATCTTTCTAGCAAAACCAGTCATTTTCAATAGATTTGTGGCTCAAGGCAGAGATCTAGAAACTCTGAAAATCTTATTTCACTTGGAACAAACATTCCCTGTTTTCCTAAACAAAAATGTCTAGTCTGATAAGTCATTCTATTAAATCTAAACCTGTAACTGTTGCTGCTCTTATGTAATGTATTCTTTCATCATATTTTCCCAGAAGACTGCACTACTACAGCTTTATTAATAAAGAATATGTGCTTCTGGACTCTTTCTTACTACCTTGTATTTTGAAATTTTCTAAGGGACCTCTCAAGTACTTATTCTGCTTGATGTTAATTTATTTCTCAAAGATCCAATCAACTTTCGGTTTAAAGGGCTCAAAGTCTTGTCTAAATTGCTAGTTTTTCTCCCTCCTCCCCTTCCACACACATCCAGGCACTCACTTGATGGTTCCATCAGGGTTGTCAATGATGACTGCACTGGTATGCCCCAAGACATAGCCGGGAATCCAGCCCTCGGCTGCAGGGCACTGATCAGTGGCGGCTCTGAACACCAAAAACATGTTCTGTTGGTTGCTGGCTAGAATTTGCACGACCTCTCCTTGGTAGACATTTATCTCATCCTCCTTCACTGCCGTGTAATCGTGTGTCACCAGCATGGTGGAGATATTGCTACTGCTGCTACTTTCACTCTGAAAGTGTCAATTGGAAGCAGAAAGAAGGGGGAAAAAAAGAACCAAGTTTAAAGTTCACGAAGAAGACAGGCTGTTCTTGGCCTGCTACATACCCTGCATAATCCACATAAATTAAAGCTGTAGTCAAAAAGCAGAGCTATGATTTCTCTTGTAAAGCTGCCTGGGTCTATTTATCTTGTGCAAATTAGTTTGATCTTCAAATACCTTCATGTACATCTGCGGCAGAAATTTATTCCCATTACTTTTACTCAAGATTACTCCTTTTAACTAGCAGTCAGTTTATACATAGATTTTAACTGCTCTTCTTTTCAAGCTGAGCCTCACATCTTTACCAGGCAACAAAACTACAGTACAGCAGTTAGGACAGTTTCTCATGGTGCAGGTTCAATATCGTAACAGGTCAAGACTTTACCTCATAAACACTAGAAGTTCCAACAACAAAAATTACGTATTTTTCCTAGTACTCTTTGTCACATCTCAGATGCCAGCCTTCTGAACACAGAACATGACAAGGTGCAAAAGAACAAAAATAGGCTTTTGACAGTGTCTGTCAAAACTGCAAGGCTTGACCCTGGTTGAATCTGTATGATCAGGTTTATTCCTTTAAACATGCAGTCTGAGAGGTAAATTACTGAAATAGTAAATTATTAATTTATTGGGCAAAACAGGCCCACTGAATTATTAGAAGAAATCTGGAAATCTCACTTCTAACTGATTAGTGACTAGGATACCTCAGTATGGTAGCTCAAACACTTTCAACTGGTGCTCATGAATGTTGTTTGCTCCCCCACCAAGCATTTGCAGAAAACTGTGCATTAAAAGTCACACTGTTTTTCCAAACAAAAAGCCTTCTCCCAGCCATTATTATGGAGATTATTATTTTTCAAACATAAGACTAAATTTTGTCCATTTGCATTCAAGTGTGAAAACTATTACCAGCCTATGCAACCTGTTTCCCTGAAATAAGCTATGTCCTTCTTGAAGCAAGTTAAAAACACACTTATTGATGATGTGGCATGAGGTGCATATGTGGGTGTGCCTGGCTTTTGTCTTTATTCTTACTTCAAATTGCTTCACATTGCTACCAGTGAGGGCTCACTATTGCCTGCTAGCAGCTGAGCTGAAAGGGAAAGCAGTAGCCAGCTGTAGATGGAGACTTCTATGGCTTAGATAGCATAACCACACATTAGCACCACTTAGGAACAAGCAGTGTGTGAAAAGCCTGGCACACAGCATTAAAACAGAGTCACCATTTTTCTCTAAACTGTCACAATACTTCTCTCTTCAGTGTTGAGGAGATGCAGCAGGACTCAGTAGACAGCACAGTACATTGGAAGCCCTGAAGACCCCATACTCTTCTAATCTGCTAATGGTCTCGAACAAGTCACTCCATCTCGTGGTGCCTGTGATTCCCCATGAGTGTTTTGGCTGAGAAACTCAGACATGTGAAAAGGAATGGTGTCTGATTACTCAATTCATAGCCTGCTCAGCACACTGATGCCTGGGTTTCCAGTAAATCTGTAGATTTTATTCTAGCCAGATTGTTTAATTCAACCGAGTGATTCAAGTTCATTCTGTCTTTTTTCCCCTATTAGGATGATGAAGTAAATAGAAAGACCTAATCCTGGGTGTCCTCTATGAAAGGGTATTTATGTTTAGCATCAGATACTGGTTTTCCAGTAGGAGAAGTAATTTCGTCTGGCATAGAGGACAGTTTGTGTGGTCTTTTGTATTAGCAAGCCGCTTCCATGACTCAGGCAAACTGGGAATAGTAGAACCAAAAAAACCAGTCTCATTTTCAGTGATTGTTTAAAGTAAGATGACAACTTGTTAGATTCTTTTAGCAAGATGAAAACCCACTCTATTCAGAGAAAGCTGCTTTTTTTAACTTCTTCTGTTAGACTTACAGGGGAAGAGGAAAGGAAGGCTGAAGTTGCAAAACCAACCTAAGCCCTAAAAATTGCCCCACATACTATTCCTGAAAATACAGTTTCTTAGCATGCAGCAGAATGTGCATAACTGCAGGCGTGACCTTCCTGTAACATGACATTTCTTTTTAATAACTAAATCTTGAAGGATCATCTTTTCTTAATTTTCAAGAAGGACAAATAAGTATGTTAAATAAACAAGTGTCTGGTAACTACTAAGTGCCAAACATTCTTGTTAATGTGTTTCTATCAGAATTTATTCTCACCACAGCCTTTTCTTTTGCCTTGCAAGGAAGTGATAATTCTTGTACAGTTTATGTTTTTCTACTGCAAGTTCTGCTGGTCATCACTGATATATAACATAGGATCAGAGAAGGATTTACAATCAAAATATAAATTTTCCCCCCCATATTCCTGAAACAGTAGCAAAACTGATTCCTTTTTCTTCCAAGTAACTTCTCCATAATTAACCAGCCTTAACCATATGTGCATGTAAATATACACACACAAATGGTTAAATCAAAATAAACCTTCACAGCTCATTTTCCCTAGCCTGTGGAATGTGGTATGAAATCCCGCTAAATTATGGTCCAGAAATGAGGTTATGAATGAAGAATCATGTTCCATCTCAGTTACAAAACTGAAAGAAGCTAGTGATAGCTGTGAAGCAGAAGACATGCGTTCAGATATTATGTTGTACAGCAAGATAAAAACAAGCAATGGTGTCTTTTCTGAGATAGTACCAGATTCTAGTGCTTTGAAAACTCAGTGCCATCCTGTCTCCTCCTCTGTCTTTATTTTAACAGAACAACATTAATTAATACTATGCAAGTCTTCTCTGCATGTAAAAAGTACATTATCTTGATTCATATGCTGTGCCTAATTGCAAAATACTCCCAATTATCCCAGATATTATACGATAATCACATTTTGCAAGACTGAAGATAAACACAAGAAAGAGCTAAACCAAATGAAAAGCTGAAAGAAGACTGGAATAAAAATACAGTACATGCAAAGCATATTTTTTTCTCCTGAAGCTATTATAAAAGTAAGTATAAGAACTAAGAAGTCAAGAAAGCTCTGTGTGTTAAACAGTTCTATAAAGAAATGCATGCATTTAAAAAAGGTCTGGCAAGTTAGATGATTTGCAAAATTGGTATTGCATACATTTGTGAGAGAGTGGAAAAACAAACATTTGTGAACACAACACTTAGACAAAAATCAAACATGAGTTTAAAAAGAAAGGCACCACAGCCTGCCTACCACATCCATGACAAGTGCCACGGAATTTTGGAATTTTATTTGTATTTTTATGTGTCCCTGTGACTGCCGTGTTGCATTTCCTGGTGGATGTCATTAGAGGATGTGGATTCTGTTGATACCCCAGTTTTCTGCACAAACACACCAAGGGAACACTACAAGGTTGAATCTCCAGATGCCCTAAACCAGTTCTTCTTACAAAGCAGAAAAGACAAGTGGAGCCACTATTTGTACTGGTTGTAGTAGAAGAAGGATTATTTTAGCTAGGTTTTGTTGGCCTATTTTTAGTGGATTGCAGGAAGCTTCCGTAACCAGACACAGATTTTAAAAAGAGAATGTCGTACATCAGCTAAGGTTGGAAGGAAAAGGGGAAAAATAAATAAAATATATTAACACAAAATAAAAATCAAGCAGCCCAGGGAATGTACTGTAGATGTCTCCACGAAGTTAAAACTCAACAGGACAATGGTGGCGGATTTGTGCATGAACGGGAAAAAAAGCCCCAAGGCAATCTGCCCAAATCTTGAAGTCAGATTTAAGTGCTGGCTGCAATGCATACCCCAAGGTGCTCTGGCTTCAGCATGTTAATTAAGTGCCTTTGAATTAGAGACGAAAAAAAGCAACGAGAGCAAGTTAGTAAGTATCAGCCTAGTGATCTATGTTTTCAGCAGAGGCAGAAATTGCATCTCATGTTAGCAGTTGCTTTTGTGTCTGTATACATATCCGCGTTTGTATGTATACACACACAGAGAGGTAGGTAATTTTGTTTTTTTAATGTGCAGAAGATACTCGAAGAGTTGATTATTTCAGAGCAGTACAGCACCGGAGAGCCAGAAGTTAGTACGGAGAGTGATGGTAACACGCAGAAAGGCAGCAGGGAAGGTTTTAGAAGAGCTCGCAGGACAGAGGTGCTCCGCTCTTACCCCATTACTCTGGGTGGAGTGAACTGACTGCTCGCTGGTCGAGGAGCATGTGCTCATGCGGTCTGTGTCCTTGCTGTGTGAAGAGTGGCGGTGGCCCTGCCGCTGGAGGGAGTCATTGTCCCCAGGGAAAGTGAAGGAGCCAGGGCGGCTGGCAGGGGATGCTGGGATGGAGCTCCAAAAGGAGCCCTTCTGCAGGGGGCTGCTGGGTGGAAAGGTTTCTTTGCCAAAAGGAGAAGGGAAAGTTGTGGAGAGAGGAGAGTTCATTGGTGAGATGGCTCCTGGCCTTGGCTTCCCGAGCGTCAGTGATCCTATGCTGTTTCTTGAGCGACCGTCCTCTGAGCTTCCACGAGAGTCTTTCTGGGCTCCGTCAGCTGAGCCAGAAATGCTTCCCGCTGTCTTCCTGGGACTTTCAATAACTTTCATCTTGGGAATCTGCTCAGCTTCTCTCTGAGGACCGTCGGGTTCTGCGCTGGGAGGGTGCCTGTCTGGCTGGCTCAGGCCACTTTCTAAGGAGGTGTTGTAGTGTGGCAGGGAGAGATTGTGAATGGACATACCTGACATCTTGTCTGCCTCTGCTTGGGCCGCAGCTGCAGAGGAGACCAGGACTGGGGAATGGTGTCTGACAGGCTGGGGGATCCGGGATGGCCGGCTACGGCTGGAGCTGGGGATGCCACTACAGCTGCTGGGGCCGCTGCTGTTACCGCTGCTGCTCCCGCTGCCACCTCCACCGCTGCTGTGGTTCCTCTGGTACTCGATTGGGGACGTCAAGGCTGCAACAGGGGTGGGAGGAGAGGCAATCAGGGAAAGGAGGGCAGGAAAGGGAACAGGAACAATTTAAACCAGACATGTTTACTGGCAAAAAGGGAGTGCTGTTCAAATAAGACAAATTCCCTTAGCAATGGTGGACATGCCACAGGCCTCCAGTCATTTCTCCATATCACACCTTCATGACTTGCTTTATGTACCTCTATTAAAGATGAAAAATCTGAAACCAGGGAGAAATGTTTTCCTCTAGGATCAGGTTTTGTCAGTCAGCAGCCAAGCTGGGAAAGAACAGGTGTAACTTCAAATTCTTAGCTCATTGTTCTATCCATTACAACTCTTAAAAAAAAAAAAAAGTCTAGATGGGGCAACAACCAATGGATACAAAAATACAGAAAGAACCTTCTAGTGTCACAGCAGACACAACCACCTTCTACTTTTCTCTTGTAGAATCTGAATGTTGTTGCCACAGTAAGATGTAACAACAATACCCACCAAAATAGCACAAACAAAACATATTCTGAATTAATGCTTAAAATTCCACTGGTGTTCAGCCTTTAAAGGCTTGCCTGTGCTTAAAAGGGTACACAAGCTCTCCACCTCAACTGATGTTACCAATCTTGATTCACTCCTACTAAACATTTGGAAATTGTCACCAAAAGAACACCATGTAAATTCAGACTGCCACTCTTATAATAAATGCTAGCATCTGTTGTGAAGCAGAAATGCAGCACATATCTCCCAACTGTTCTATATTAGCTCAGGAAAAAGGAAACTTGCACAACATTTCAAAGCCAAGAAACAACAGATGAGAGAAAAGATATTTTTCAATTGCAAGCACCCAGTGAGAGGAAATTATTTACCATTTAAAAAGTTGCGCTGGTTTTCCAAAATTTGGTTAATTTCGTGGATCCACAACTGGCGGACTCCTGGACTGGCAGAATGCAAAATAAAGGTCTCCGTGACATCACCAGTCCTTGATGTTAGTGCAAATTTACATGGATCACTGTCCACATTTTCCTCTAGGGAAAGGCAACTCACCTTCACAGGGGAAAAAAAAAAAAAGAGAATTTACTTCACGCATTTTATGAGAAACGTAACTGTAAAATCTCTTACTTGGGGAGCTCAGACTCAGACCTTCAAAAGATGAACATCCTTTCCTTCTATAAAATAGTACCATGAAATGAAGGATTACAGTAAACTAAGGACTATTGTACAGCTTACCCACATACTGTGCCTGAATGAACTCCAATTGGTCAGTACGGCTCAATGTTCTCCATTGGCTCTTGCTTTCCCTTTGTATTACTTAAATACTGAGCCCCTCTGGACCTCTACCACTGGCCCACACTGAAGGCTTCTGCTGCAGATACAGCAATGGCTTGGAACGTGCTATCCAGCCAGTGCTGAAGGAGATGCTCAGCTGACAGAGCGCCGAGTCAAATTAAGGGAGGCAGGTTCCACTGAAAACGCTTCACCAGGAGGGCTGGTGGGCACTAACATCAACAGGTTTTGTTCCAGTGAAGGCTTGAAGTGGGAGCAAAAACTTGTAGTTTGAGGGATTTTCTTGCAGAAGAGCTGAAATATTTACGAAGGTGGCACTACTTACAGATGTTACCTATACATTTGGACTGATTTTAGCTGAAACTCAAAATAAGGGATACCTAAAGAGTAACAATCCTAACTTGCAATACATTTATGATGTGGTATACACACAGCACAGGGCTGAAGACTGAACTCTGTGAGTGCTTGTTCAGTTTTGTACAAGAACACCTGTTTCGGTATGCTACACATGGGGAAGCATCAGAGTACTGGGATCCAAAGATTTCTATTTATCATCAGAGCGAGCACAAATTTGGTAGGAAGCAATTTCAGGAAATGACTGATGCCTCACTGTGCTTTATGATTGCACATCTAGATATGACTAGTTACTCCACACTGAATCGGAAACTGTTACCTTAGCAGAGTTTGTGCAGAGGAGTAAAGACTCACACACAACAGTTACCTTGATACTGTTTTTAAACAAGAATCCAGGCATGGAGAAACCTTTCTTTTTATCTAGCAGCTCACTGAAAATAACAATCTGCTCAAAGAGGAAGACCCGTCTCTCCTTGCAGCGTGGCAGAAGTCCCGTGTCCTGGTCTGTAACCAAGAATGTGTCCTGGAGCAGGAGCTTACCCTGGGCTACAATTTTACCCTAAACACAGAGGCAAGCAGAAATCCTTTTAGTGCAGTTATTAATTTCTTTTCCCAATCAATTTTTTTGAGAAGATGATAACATCAAAATAGCTCTGTATATTTCCCAGTTTCTGACCGTTGCTGACCATTATGTATTCATTCATCCGTTCATACACAAGACTTTCTTGTGCCCTTTCTCAAAAAACAAACATCAAGTAAAAAAAAAACTGAATCCACCCTTTTCAATTCATACTTCAGTTTGATGCTTGTAATAATGTCTCAATCTCTCTTTTCTCAGTAACTCCCACAATAACTTATACATTACTCCAGTGCCTTACAGGGTGCCAAAAAGGGGAAGAATTCAAGTCCATACCTGCATTACAGAGCAGAAACGGCTTTGCAAGAACATGTGGCTATGGTCTGGCTGTGCTTTGACAGCCAATTTCCACCTCTTCTAGACTTGGCAAAACAAGAAGGGTTACAGTTGCCTCAGGTACTTTTACTGACCTCAGCAACTCCTCCTTTGCCTACACTGGTGAAATTGGGTCTGCTCAACTGCTGAGAACTCATCACCTCACTGCTTTGCAAGTCATTAGTTGATAAGGGAAACATCACTGCTTCCCAGATTTTCTGGAAGACACACACAGGGTGACTGACATAACAGGTAAAACTTCACAGGAAAAAGTCCTTAGCAGGGCTAAGACTTGACTTTTCATTCACTGCTTTTTGCAGCAGCTAACCAGACAGTGAGGGAGCACCCTACCTCATTTCTTCCCACAAAATTAATGATTAATTTCTAGAGAACCTGACAAAAACTCTAAACAAAGCACCAGCCAACTTACATCAAATCCTTGCAGGCGGCCAACATTCATCATGTCATTACACCGTTTTGGTACTATACACATGACCTCTACAGCTTTCTGTTCAAGACAAATAAAAAGTCAAAGCTTTATTTTCCAAATGAGTCAACAGAATAAAACTTAGTTTCATTTGCTACGGTTGCTTTAGAACAGAAATGCAAAAAGTAAACACTTATAACCACATTCTCAAAAAGATCAGAAAAGGAAAGCGACTGTAAAAACAAGAGAAGTTCAGAGTAAGGAGCATTCAAATCACTAAGACAAAATGTCTCAAGTACCTCTAGTTCTGTTGTGTCAAGGTTAGCTTTTTTAGAATATTTGAGGAAGTCCTGAAAAAGAAAAAAACAACAATCAGTACAATAAGTTCTTTTCTCATTAATCACCAAACTGAAATCTTAAAGAGAATGATAGACTGTAGAAGACACACAGAAAAATACTCTTTTTAAAGCTTCTTGCTGCAGTGCTTCCTCCCTCTTTATTTTTTAAGATTTATTCAGCATTTTGATTTACATGATATGAGAGTGTGTATTAAAGCAATAACCTCTATGATACACAGGATTGCTCTTCAGTAAACGCTCATGTGATATTAAAATGGCTACAGATGTAGACGGGAAAGCTGCAATGAGTCCCAGCAACTCATACCACATTCACATCTGAAAACAGTTGGGAGATCTCTCTTGCCATGGTATGACATTGGTTGAAATTCTAAACATTTTTCTGTCACTGACTCGAGTTCATCTGTCTTTGACTGTTTAAAGAAAGAGCAAAATTCTGATTAAGCTACTTACTGCAATTTTTGTAACTATCTGAATATGCTCAGAAAATAATCATATTACATTGCTCACAAATCTGGGTTATGTTTGGGGGAAGAGCACCAGCAATGTTTTAGAAAGAAAATGTGTCAGTTAACACACATAATTAAATGATCCATCTCAACATCACTTTACCTTTAGTAACAGCTGGTATTTCATAATTCTCTGCACAGGTTTTATTAGCAAGTCCGTGAGCTGCAGTCTGTGGCCCAGGCGCTGCTTTAGATCCTGAGGGTCATAAAATAAACCTTTTTTTGTTAGCTTGTTGATAAACTCCTTGTTTTGTTGAGTTAGAAACATAGCAGGATATTAGTGGTTATAAGATACATATTAGTGGCTATAAGAGCAGAAACTGGCAAAAGTCAGAGCAGAATCTAATCTTCAGCTAGCAAAAGCTGGAGTCCTCCCCCTTATTTGTATCAGCTTTGTTTCCAAAGAACCCTCCCATCCAACCACATTCTATGTCTTTTTTTGAAAAGGTCATACTGTGAAATGTAATTTTTCTATCACAAGTTGTATATAGTCTATTTTTACAGTGATCTTTGCTCATCCAAGATTGCCACTTCATATAATATGCACTGTTAATTGTCTCGGCTAGGGACTAGTAGGGGCGAGATCAATTAGTATCTTCAACCTAAACCTTTTGTTTTCTTCCCCTAGAGATTAATGTATCTCTAGGAACCTGTAACAGGCTTGAGAGATCGGAACAGAAATGGCACGAAATTACAATTCAAAACGGCAACTATTTGTGCTGCCTGTTTGTTTGTTTTGGTCAACAGATCTCCTAACCCTTTTGATATGCACACACCATTCACCTTGTGTATATCCTCTCCCAGGAACTTACCTCAAAAAACGTATCAATATATTCTGAGACAATGTGCTCAGACTTTGGTTTGTTTTGGCAGTAAACTATGTACATGTGCAACCTTCTCTCCTAGAAGAACAAAGATACAGAAAGATACATCATCATCATAAAGAGAAAAACATGACAGATTAAAATGGGGTACTATTTTAAGAAGCACAGCTGTTCAAAGTAACAACTTAAAAAGGTCCTTTTCAGGAAAAGAAGGAGCTACGTATGCAGAAATTAAATCTGAAAACATATGTATTTGGGAATATTATGGTGATTTAAAAAAGGCAACAGAAGTAAAAAAATTGCCACAGTTATAAGTACTTCTAAACAACAAGTATTTAGAGATGATATCTTAGCAGAACGCACAGAAAAATTAAGTATGAGGATGGTTATATTTTTCTTTTAGCAAAACAAATGGATGGAGCTTTTGAAATATATGTTTTTAAACATGAATTTTAATAATCTGATTATTATTCTAATATATTAGGATAATGACCTCCTCCTGTTTAGCTCTACTGAGTAATTAGGAAAAACCTCTCAAGTCTTCTATTTAGCATTAGCTCTCCTATTGGGAGTTTGAGTGGGGAAGTAGGTGCTGTAGCCTGGAAATGGCGGCATTAGTATTCTTTAACCCTGATACTCTATTTTGAGCATGCGTTTTTAACACCCAGGTAATGAAGAAAAAGAGAAAGAGAGAGCATAACTCCAGCCTTTAAGATTAATACTTGATTACCAACCTTGCTGGTGAAGAAACACATACCATGTGTGTCTATTACCTACTCCAAAATCTTTTTTATTTTGCTAGGATTTGTTTGCCATTAGCTTTGCTGCTCAGAGACTTATGGGGTACTGACTAGCGAAGACAAATAGAAAGCAAAAAATAGGAAGAAGTAAGATGAAGACTGAAAAGGACACAGAACAGATTCAGAGCAGGATCTGAAGTGTCATGTTGTAGCTGATAGGGTTTTGCTAGAGGATGTTGTAATAGCATTGCTGCTTGCCTTTCCATCTGGAGTTCTAAGTGTGTCTTTCAAAGACAACTCAGTTACACATACATCAGGAGAAAGTAAAACAGCAATTAGAGACAGCGAGTTACTTCCTTCAGGTTTCCCATTTGACCAGTGCCAGAATTCTCCCTTCTCTCCATGCTTTTTTTTTTTTTTTAAATAATAATCCTTCAGAAATGAAACAGCTCATTCCTCATCATTAGTCCAGGAATTAGGTCTGTGTTCCAGTGTTACTGTTCCAATAATTTTTGGTTCTCTGCTCTTTTGCTACCCTGGTATGGACTTCAAACACAGACTGCAGGGCAAATCTGAAACCCATTAAATATGCTTTAATCCAGTCTGGTTTCAGTCACTGAACACTTGTGCAAATGATCATATTTAGCAGGCAAGTTTCTCTTCTGCTGTCTTGCATGATTTCGAGTACCTTGAGACCGTGTCTCAAACAGATATTAAATTGTATTTCTACAAAAGGACACCAAAAGGAGCTATTGGTGGCAGTCTGATGTGTTCTGAATTTTGGTATGTAGTTTCTAGATAGCTAGTTAATCTGATTTAGTCATGAAGTGTCATAAGATCCACCTGTAACACATGGTCATTCCTTTTAATAAACGAAAAGCGGAAAAACAGACTTGTATAAAGGGTACTGTGTTGGTCTAAAACTAAATATAATTGATTTCTGGTGGTCTCAATTCCTTCCCCAAGTAAAGAGGGAGGAATCTCAACTGCTACTGTGATTCTCAGAATGGGAAAGAATGCAAAACTAGAATGCACTGAAACTGGAAAGAAGAATTAGCCTCTTTCCTATTTTTGTTTCCTGTCTTCTGTGGTATTGTATGGATACTTGGGATTAGAAGGCAGGTGTCATATGAAATGACAATTGCCTTGCACAGAACTGGAACTGAATTGAGAAAAGGCACCCTCATTCATACTTCCTCTCCAGAGGAAGATAGTAGGGGCAAAACTTGGAGCATTTATTTAGTCTATTTAAACGCCCTTATAAGCTATCTCTCCAGGTCTTACAGTAAAGAATATTTTACAGGTTTTTTTAACTATGTTGTGCCATAGGTAAATCCTTAATAGTAAAAAATGTTGGTCAATAGCAGCAATAGGGGTTTGCCAACATATACACTTACATGCTTAACAAACAGGGATCCCAGTTTTTCTGGATCTTCAAGGCACTTCTCCAACTCTCCTAAAAAGAAGCTGAACATAAACTGAATGAGTACTTTTTTTTCTGATAGCACACACTATAGCAACAGATGATTGCAAGGAGAGTGTTCTTACTGCAAGATCCACTTTGTGTCTTGTATCAGCAGCTTTGGATACTAACGTCTGTCCAAAATGACAGTGTTAACAGTGCAGTATTTTAGTACAAATTTCTAAAAAGACATATTAAATCCACGCCAAGTTGAAAAAAAACTGGTGTTCATTCATAATTTTTTTAAATTTTATATATTGTTTGAAACTTTTCTCCTCCTCACTCTGAATGAGCTGCTCATATTGCCATGCTAACCCTCAACAAATTCTTAGCCTGCGTTCACAGAGAAAACATTTTTGAAAATACTCAATGTCTAAACTTCTGTAAATAACACTATCCATACTGCAGATTATCAGTTGAAGCACTTGCTATATATAAGCATCCTTGTTTAAAGCAAATCTTCATACCAACATTTATAAGCTGAATCTACAGTATCTGCAACTGAAGTACAAGACCAACTGTATTTACCTTGTACCTGAATATTAGAGGAAGAAAAATATTTTTTAGAGTCAGCCTAGTATTATTTAGCTATAATTGTTCAGCAGATGGTTTTCAAGTTAATACATACTCTCTGTGCCAGTCATAAATCTGGTGAATATTTCCAAATACAATCTTGTCTTTCCCTTTCATGTCATCAGGTACACCATCTTCCTTCATAAGTGCCATGTATCCCTGCAACAGTCCAAAATATTCACTGTGAAAATTTTAACTTTAAAAAAATTGTCTTTTAATCCCCCTTCTCTCAGAAGCCCTGAAAATTGCCCATGACAAGAGTTTGGTTGGGACACAAGAACAAGCCAAAAAAACTGCTCTGTAACATAAAGCATAGGTAGAATATAACACAAATCAGCTTGAGGTTGTCTACGTAACAGTGCCCAGTGCTAGAAAGATGAATTCACACTTGCTAATTTAGCCTGTGTGAACACGCTCAAAGCAGTATGTCTAGTATGTGAAAAGTCTGCAGGAGGAAACTCAGAATGCAAGCATTCACATTTTCAGTTTCTTCCTGCGTTTTGTTTCAACAAGCTACACAGCTGGTCGGTATCTCATCTGGGGAAAAAACAATTTTAAAAAAATATAAAGAGAGCAAAAACCATCATACCTCAACTACGTAGCCCAGATCTCGTACGTAATCTCTCTCTGTCTCCACTAATTCCTGTAAGACATAGCTACAATGGAAAGAAAATGGTGAACACAAATTTAATTAAAAAAAACCCCAGGTTCTTAAGGAGGATTAATGGCATAAATTTTTCCACACATTTGTAGTCACATATGTTTGGTAATCAAAGCTGAAATGGAAGAATTAATGCACATTCTTTCTAAGCAAGATGCTGCTTTGACTTTGGGACAGGAGCAGGCTTACCTCTGCTTATCTAATGTCAGATGTTTTCTTACATGGCATTAAAATCAAACATTAAACTACTGTTTAAAATAAAACGCTATTATGTCTCTAGTCTGAGACTCTTAAATATATGAATTGTTGGTTCTACCCACAGATTTAAGTAATTTTGGAATCAGGCATGCTTTTGTTCTACCATGGTAACAGTTTCCTATTAAATAAAGTAATTAACAGCATGGTGGAACACAACAAGGGGAATGACCAGTTTTTCAAAGTCAAATCACTCTCTAAACATTGAAGATCAGCACCTTCCTGCATAACTGAGACTGACATGTGACAAAAGTCAAACACAGGTATAACTAAAATTAAAAATCTCTGGAAATTGAAACTGTGACTGTTGAGGAAAATTTTTTTCTTTGCATTATGTGACTGCATGCTTGACACCTCACACAAGTCCTCCTCCCCTCAGATTAACAGTTTCAGCTGCTAGTGCAAAATGGTAGTTTTAAAAACATTTCCTTTATCTCTTCAATACATTATCAAAAAGGGATTAAAAATGTGGTCTTACTGTCGTCTTTTTAAGGAGCTGGATTTCCTTTCTTCCATCTCATCTATGGGTGATGAGGAGGAGAGAAGGGAGTTATCTGAAGGGTTGAAGGATGGACTGCTGCTGTCACCTTGATCTACCAACAAGGAACTTGGACGGTCCTCCAGGGCCTGAAAGGTGTTCAAGACAAGACAACAACAATGATTTATTTCTCCTTTATTCACAAGATCCATTTACATTGCAGCTGTATATGGGAACCTATGGGAGATCAATTATTGCAATGTCTCATGGCAAAGGTGGTCTCAAGCTCCCAAGAAACCAACCAACAACTTGGCTTTCCAAGAGAGATAACCTAACCTTAGAGAAGCACGTTTGAGATATGTCAGTCTTTCCTTCACAGGAAAAGAAAGGAGTTCAGTTGGTTTAAGCAGCAAGAGATAAAAATCAGACTATCCTGCTCAGGATGTAAGTACTTGTATGGTGGAAGCTATACAGATGTGTGCTTATTGCTGGGGGTTAAATTATATTTGTCATACTTCAGTTCTGGCATATGCAATTTCAATAATAAATAGGACATCTTTAAAGAACATCTTTGTATCTTAGATTTTTTAAATTACAACAGAAGTGGCAATCTTCATCAGACATTTTGTTTATCATATTCACTAGCCAAAATACTGACACATTGAAGAAGATCACGACTTCTACAGTCAGTGTTGCTTTTAAGCTTCATGATAGTTCAGATCCTATGAAAGAGTCCCTAACTCTTCTGGCAGATACACTGTCTCCCTTGCATGGACTCCACAGGCCTCTGTTTGTATAAAAGATGGAGAAACCATGGGAGAAATAATATGAGCAAGCTTCTATGAAGTTATTTATTGGACTTCTTTAACTCAAGCCCATAATCTTGGAACAAGCTACAGTTATGTATCACATTTTCCTTGCATGTGATACAGCCTTTAATGCAAGACACATTTGCTTCATCAGGGTGGGGTTCAGCTGCAATCTCTTTTTCTTTCCTTACAAATAGTAAAAACCCAATAATGATAGGACTCATCCAAAAACCAGGGGAAGCTGACCCTTGGCTAAAACTGTGAAATGAGAACATCTACATCAGGCAGGGCCTATATGGATGGATCATTAAGTTATATCCACTGTTAGGCTGCCTGAAAGACATGTGGACTGCTGAACTTTCAATTTACAGAAGACTGTTGAATCTTCCCATAGATTACTTTTTATTCACCTTTCTGGTATGAGAAAAAAGCAAAATTAATACTCTGCGAGATTGCAGTAATTATTTCATGCAGTCATGCAAGTGAAGTGTAAATCCTTCTGAATGAGGAAATATAACATATCAATTAAAATTTGTCATTCTGAAATTCAAAGCTGCTTTAGTTTATGATGAGCCTGAGAAATAGCAACTTCTGGTAATATAGGGCTGCCATTCTGCAATGGTCTATATTTTTCACAGCAGCACTTCTACCAAGCCCAACAGGGTTTACGTTGCACAAGCCAGAATGAAAGGATTTGATGAAATCACAGAATTTCTGAGGGACTTCTTGAGACCATATAGTCCAATCTACCAGCTCAAACAGGGTCAGCTAGGGCTTTTCCAAGTTTAGGTCAATCTGCGTTTTGAATATGAAGGACAGCCTTCCTGGAATTATCCCAACACCCCATTCTTCGTCAATGAACATATTCAGAAACAAAGAAATGTTAAAATATAGAGCCTTTAAAAAGCTGACACAAAGTCCTCCTACTTAATTTGTTAGAAAACACTAAAAAGCAGGAAAGGAGGCACTAACATGTAAAATCATCCTTTTTTACTTATTTATTCATTACTGTGTTGCCTAAAAAGAGCAGCTAGACAGCATAAATGTTTTTGTGGGAGGTTTACCTACTTTACTGTTGAACCTTGCAAGATTTGATACAAACTTAAGTTTCTGGGATTCTTCTCATAAAGGTCTATCAGGCTAAGACCCTGGATCTTTGCATTCATTTTGCTAATAGGACACTTTTATTTTTACTAATAAGGCACACATTTTCTGTCACCTCCTCTCCCTGTTATTTACTGCTTTTTGCCTCTCCACATGGGCATTTACCTATTCAGTAAAGTGCTCTTACAAATGAGTGTACAAAACACACCAACCCAGAAAGTGATTTTTTAAACAGGCATCAAGCTTTACAAGTCAAATGCATGTAGCTTTTCTTTGAATAGCAAGTCAGGACTTGAAGACTGAACTTCTTTAAACATCCACATTTGCCAGTCAGCCTCACCATTTTACTTTTGACGAGCTCTTCAATTGCACTGACTAGTTCTGCAGCACTGGGTGTCTCAGAGCTGGTTGGCCGCACCAGTAATCGAGAAGATGTCTGTGCAATGACACAAAGGAAGGAGAATCCCAGAGTTAGCCTGGTATTTGCTCAAGGATCAAAAGACTTCCTTCACTTCTCTGTCAGACAAACATACCCGACAATAAGTGTCAGTATAATAAAACACTAAGATCATCCCCTTCCACTTGGACAATTAGAATTGGGAATTTTAAGTAACCCCACAAAATTTAAATGCTGGGATGAAAAAAATCCTGTTCCTACATGCAATACAAGTCAAGGAAATATCCTTCATCTTACTAATCATGACAGTGCCTGAGAAATATCTACAGAAACCACTTGAGCTGACTTAATGGACAACATACAGTTTGTTAACACATCTTATTGCTGGTTAAACAAAGCAACAACTCCAAAACAGTAGCAGGAACCAAGACAACTTGAAATAAAGGAGGAAGCATCATTAAACTAAGAAAAAATATACCAGTAACTCAGGGGCATTTACTTTTCTAAAGGAGCTGGGGTATATTGCCCAGATTCAGAGGGGAAATTGAGCTCACCATTCCTTGTGCCATCCATTTTCCCCAATGGTATGTGTAGAGCACAGAAGATCTCTGGCCTCATAAGCTATAAAATGCCAGTTTATAGATAGAACTGAAGGTAAAAGGTATTCACAATGAAGGATTGTGGGAGGGGGCCATTAAATTCAGCCTCAGTAATTTGCAAACAGAGTTGTTTGCATATTACATTTATCATTAAATAACTGGAAGGTGGAAACAGGGTGTAATATGAACTTTACTTCATATTACGAACAGCACAGTGAACATCATGTAGTACAGAGTAAGCTGTCCTGTAAATGTTTCCAACAAACCGGATAAAGAAATGGCACATAAATGACTTAACACAAGAGGTTCTGCTCAAGTCAAGCATGGATATAACAAGGCTCCCTATAAGTCAATAGAAAAAAGAATATACAGACTTTAGGTAGTTTGCCTTGTATTCGCCTTATTCGGAAAGGAAAACAGGGGCTGGGTAAGCAAAGGAAATACACACAACTTTAAACAGAAAGATACGGGAACTGAGCCAAAGCAGAGACAGAACACAAGTCAACATAATGCTGCATCAGAGTTTACAAAAAGAGAAAACAAAAAGCAAAAATAATTAGTTTCATATTAACATAACTATACTGAAACTTTAATACTGCTTATCCAAAAATTAAAAGCAAACAACTTGTAAACTGCCATCAAATGCAAATCCATGAAGTGTGCAATGAATCTACTGAATGGAAAAATGCATACTGTGCAGATGTGCTCTAAGGGGAGAAAATGGTTATGTTATTTAGTGATATCAGACAAATCGGCACGGCCTAGCACATGATGTTTGCATGCACACCAAAAACCAAGCAATCCCACAGCTAGTGTGTCTCTTAGGCAACTCTGTGCTCCCAAAACCTGACTGTTGACCAGGTTTTCCAAAGCTGTGCCTATGTGTAGGTTTTCACTTTGGGTGTGAAGTTCTGCTTAGCTTTACAAAACACTGACAGTGCTGGAATCACACTCTGGTCAAGGTCCCTTCTCTCCGTGGGAGTATATGGGGTGTGATTGCTGGTAAAACTTCAGAACTATTTGTTTTTTAGTTCATGTGAATTTATCACATATTATCTGGCAAAGATTAAGTCTGCCTGCTGATCTTCCAGATGATGTACTCTGGGAGCAGAATACACCTCTTGCCCAGAGTACAAGGAAAGGTGGAGGGAGCTACCGAGTACACATAGGTGTGAAATGCTGCTGGAGCCCACAGTTAGCTGCCTAGGGAAGGAGGGAGAAATCCAGCAAGCAGGGAGTTTCCAGCTTAGTGTAGCCCAGGAGCCCTGGAGAGGAAGAAATGCTAGCATTGGGACACAGTAAAAAGCCAAGCCTCTGAGGTCACAAAAAGGAGGAGACATTCCTCAGGATCCAGAGGAGCTGAGCAACAGCAGAAACCACTGAGCATGGCAGGGGAGAACTCCACCCAGAAGGCAGACAACTGGGAATTTTTGTTTGCAATTCTTTCATTAATCAGTAACTCCATCAACAGAGCCAAATGACTTCTGCTGGGTAAAACTTTGCCCTGGCTTGTCACTTCTGCTTTCCAATAAAGCATTTGCTTTAGGTACTGAAACTGATGGTATGCCTTAGTGTGTGGACTTCAGGGAAGCGCACGCAACCTCCCAGGCTGCCACAGGAGGGGACATTTTGCATCCCACCATGCAGGTCAGACATTGCACAAGAATAACGCTCCTCCAAAGTATAACAATTTATGTTTTGAAAAATTATGGTGTAATATTAACTGTAAAAAAAAAATTAATTTCTTAGAAGTCTTCTCTAAAATGCAATTTAAGCTACTTTAGAAACTGTCCCAACATGTTTTTACTGAAGTGGGTCCATGTTAACCTCTGAAGAAGCAAAAGTAAAATTTAATGGGGTTTGAAAGCTACTCAAAGCCTCTTACTCTACTGTGTTATGGGTCTGACTTTGCACTAGAAAGACAGAAAGGAATGGATACTTAACTTACAAGTATATCCCTTCATGCAGATGTTCTTTCTGTCTAAAAAGAACTATATAGGCAAAAGCTTATATAGCTTTATATAAGCAAAAGCTTATCTCAAGAACTCTTTATAAGGCTTTAAATTTTTCTTTTTAATATCACTGAAGGGACATGCAAATATGGCAGCTTATCAGCATGAACTTTAACGTCTTTTCACCAACATTATTTTTGTTCTACTTCTAAACCTCAGTCTGAGATCATTATTTTCTAGCAATGAAATATTCCGTCTGGTCTAAAGGCAAATTATAAAATGGCAAAATTATAAAATGCCTATTTTTCCCTGCTTCATTTTAAGAGTATTTCCCAACATATTAACTTCCCTAACTCACAGACACAACTTTTTCAATTAAAAAAACAGGTAGGAATTATATATAGAGAGAGCATATAAGCAAGCCATTTTGATCCTGCAACTGATAGCATCAGGGATGATTGAAATTCACTGAGAGGCAGTGGCATAAAAGGAGGAAAGAAAAGTCAGCAAGACCAGCCAAAGGTATCAGTAACATCTGCATAACTCAGAACAGTGAGTAACCACCCACAAAACTCACTAACAATGTTCATGCTGTAGATGACAAAGGCTAAAAAATTGTAAGCAGCAAGATGGGAAGTAAACTTTGTATGCAAGTATTTGCTGCCCAAGTCTACACTATTTCTACTCTACAACCTTCTATTTCCAGACTCAACAGTTGTCCCCTAACTGATTGCTCCAGGTTGACAAGTGACATAAACCCTCTCAATGTATAAACATCACTATGTTTGCGAAAACCAGGTAATACGCAAGTGAGATCTCCTTCTTGCAGTTACTATCTGCATCCAGAATTTCATTATTGATGCACAATGTTTAGCCTCAATTTCATGAGCCTTTGTTCATTAAAAAAACAAAAGCAAAACAGGTGGATTGTTACCCTTATTTGGCTGTTAACTTCTTAGTATACATGTAGAGGCACAGAAGTAAAAAAAGAAGGAAAGAAAAAAAAAGCTGCATGCCATACAGAAAGACCTTGAATTTCATGTGAACAGCTTTTTCTGCTAAGGCACATACCCAGAAATTTTTTTTCCTCTGAACTGAGGGGGTGAATTATTCAAAATAGGGGTCTTGATGAACAGTCTACAAAGATTATGTACAACTGTTAGTTTCTCCAGATAAACTTTACTTGCACATAGCATTTTAATCTAAATACACAAAGGTATGATTATAAAGCAATTAAATGCTAATCACTAAATTTGGCATCTGTTAAATAGATGTAAACAGGCCTGCAAACACAGAAATATGCCCATTTCCACACTTGAAGTGTTAGCAGAAAAATTTAGAGGATGCATTTAATTTGCAGTCTTGCCATGGGAATTCCTTTTAATGTTATCTCAAGTGGCATAGTGATTGCTTCTGTCTACCATAAAGCTGTATTACATACATTACAGAAACTTAGAAAAAGAAGCAAGATTTGTGAAACAGAGATTATGTCAATACGTGAGGCCTTCCCCACTTCCTCTTCCTACCTTGTCATCCTGTGAGTCAGGCTGGAGAAGACTGTGTTGCTGAATTGCCATTGGAGGAGGAAGTGGTACAGCATCTGCTCCCTCTTCACCCTCCTCCTCTCCGCAGCTCTGCATGCCTGAAGAGGATGACTTGGAGAGAGTGCCACTGCTCAGCCCCTCATTTCGACCTCTCTGCAAACAAAATCAAGACATTCAAGCCCTGTCACCTCCTCGGCAGCATGAAGCTTGTTCCACACAAGCTCATCTTAAACAAGTCTGTTCTGTAGGTCACTGCTCTCCCAACAAGTCAAGATGATCCTACAAGCTTAGTGCAGTTCCTCAACAGAGGAGGGGAAAAAAGCAGATGCTAAAGATAATGTTTTCAGTGTTTGGTAAGAACAGATGGATTGAGATACTGGGAACAAGACATTCAGCTTGACATTTAATACAGGAAAGTGATACCAAAGCCATGCTTGCTTTCCAGTTTGGTTCTGGCAAGGGCCATGTTCTGCTAGCATAGAAACTCAAGAACTTTATATCATCTCTCACAGCAAGACATATAAAGGATATAAAAAAACCCCGTATAACAACGATGAAGTATTTGTCAATTATGCTTTCTGCCCCCTCCCCTTTCAATTAGTGAGAACAGATTGCTTGTACAATTTTTACAGTTCTGTCAAAAGATGGTCCTTCCAATTATGCAGGAAACTATGATTTTAATTAGTCAAAGTTTAATGTAACTGATCTTGCAGGATAATTTCACTGTCTTTAAAGGAAGACAGCAGAGATGGTTACTATTTTTTCCTGTTTTTTTTGGTTTTTTTTTCCCTTTAAGGCACTGGTCTTAGGTTCTCCCCCACTCACAGAACTGCAGAATAACAGGTACTTCCCAAAACAATGCTACAACTGCCTCACAGAGGGTTTCTTTCTACAGCCTGATATTCAAGAACAGAGGCCAATATTCCTTCATGAAATCATGGAATTGTCAGAGCTGGAAGGGACCTCTAGAGATCACCTAGTCCTGCTAAAGCAGGATTGCCTAGAGCACATTACTCTCAAACCACATCTCCCAATTCAGCATGTTGCCAACTCTCTAGTCCTTTTTTTTCCCTTACATTTGCTGCATAACTTCACTGATGTTCCAAGCTTGCAGCAAAATACATAGGAAGCAAGAAAAAAACAAACAACTAAACAATTAATTGGGCATCTGAGACCACTTTTCTGCATTGTAACTACCCAAACCACTAGTCAGATTCCAGCCTGGTAAAAAGGAGTAATGGCATACCAGGCAAGTGGCTGTACCCCCCAAAGCAGCAATATACCATTCATTTCAGCCTGAACCATAGGCGAAGAAAATTCGGCTTTGTCTATACCTAACAGGAGGCAGGGTTTGCTCATACACGAGTTGCAGGCTTAGAAGGATGAGCACGTGTTTGTGTGAGGAAGAGAAGCCTTCAGTAGATGTCTTTGGTGGCAAAATCTGGAAGAGCTCACAATTTCCTTCCCTCCAATGAAAACTGCCATTTTTATTATTTGACCAATGGTAAATACCTTTTGATTTGACCTGCCATTAATTTTTCTGTGCTTTAACTCCTGCTCAAGGTGTAAACACAGCTTTAAGCAGTTTAAGCAGCTATCTCTACCTTTTCTCTGATCCATCAACAAAAGGAAAGGAAATACCAAATGACCTGATTATTCTCAGAACATGAAGCACCTTTACTGATAGTGCTGTGTTCCCGAGTGGGATAAAAGAGCAAAGCCAAATAACTTTTTACTCTTTTCTACAACTCTTCTTCAACTAGAGATCCTCCTACACAGAGCTTTCCTCATGCTGTCAATGTAGATGGGCACAAATTGCCTGACACAGTACTTATGCAGTCATCAAGAATGAGGACATGACACACGTCACTTTGCTGAACTGCTGGACAGTCAACTGAGGAGACAACCTGCACCTGACAACATTTAGTTTTTTGAAAAACATAAAAACAAATCTCAGGAAGCTGCATTGAATCAGAGAATCACAGAATAGTTTGGGTTGGAAGAGACCTTTAAAGGGCATCTAGTTCAACCCCCCTGCAGAGACCAGAAACAGCTTCAACTAGATCAGGTTGCTCAGAGCCCCATCCAACCTGACTTTGAAAGCTTCCAGGGGATGGGGCTTCTACCATCTCCCTGGGCAATCTGCTCCAGTGTCTTACCACCTCCATAATGAAAAGTTCCTTCCTTATACCTAGTCTAAACGTCCCTTATTTTAGTTCCAAGTAATTACCCCTTGTCCTCTCACTACAAACCCTTGTAAAAAGTCCTTCCCCAACTTTCATGTAGGCCCCTCCAGGAACTGGAAGGCTGCTACAAGATCTCCCTGAAGCCTTCTCTTCTCCAGGCTGAACAACCCTAACTCTTTCAGCCTGTCTTCACAGAAAAGGTGCTCCAGCCCTCTGATAATTTTTATGGCTCTCTCTGGACTTGCTCCAACAGGTCCATGTTTTTCTTGTGCTGAGAAATGCTTACCTCTTCAACAGTTTCATCTTGTGGTGTTGCTGCACTATCATCAGAGTCCTTCTGAGAGCCTGCATCAGCACTTTTGCGAACCTCTCTACTCTTCTTATGCTTGTGGGCCAGCTTTTTGACATGCCCATCTGCTTTTCCACTGCTAAGACGCCTCACAGGACTGGTAAGCCATTTTCTCAAAGTATTGCCAGGGCGCTTGGGGCCCGGAGAGCTCTGTGCACCAATCATGTGGGGCTGAAGTGATGTTACTGAAGCAGGAGGACTGGCATCATTGCTGGAGACTGAAAGGGAGTCTGAAAAAAAGAACAAGAGGAGCATCTTAAAGCTGAAACACTGGTAAGTGTGAAGCAAGGCAAATGACATAGGTAATGATGGATATCAGATTAGATTTTTGGACAAATTGGTCAGATTATTTTGAAGTAACCTGGCCTTTGATGACACTGCAACTATCAGTCTTCATGGTGCATGTGGCCACCCACACATAAGCACCTTTTATACACTTGCAACACACAAGCTTCATAAAGTCACTCCTACCTCAACTGTAATTCATAGTTACCACTGCTGATACTTATGTGAAAGTGGAGTATACCTTCCATATACTATCTACCTTTATGGAATGATGTGCTTGTTTCATCTTTTAATGCATACTGCTTTGAGCAGGGACATGTAGATTAAAAATTATTTTTCAAACACCAAATTTTTATTACAAATGTTCCAGTTACCTTCATTGTTTATTTATTTTCCCTACCCTTGGAAAAGAAGGAAGAAGAATCCAGAGAACAGCTAAGTGTCTGTCTTTTGCATAAATCTTTTTCAGTCTTGGGTGTGGTTCTGTTTTTTAAAAAGGCACAGAACATAATGACATAAAAAAGCGAATTTGCTCAAATCTCAGGATCAGAGTATTTCTCAGCATGACACTGCCTCAAGCTCTGTAGTAAAACAAAAGATACACATTTCTGTAACCATGTGCATGTCATGATTTTAACCTAGAAGGCAGTTAAATACCACACAGACAATCACTCACTCTCCCCTGCCCCCCAGGGAATGGAGAAGAGAATCGGAAAGGTAAAGAGACTTGTGGGTTGAGATAAAAACAATCTAATAATTGAATATAAGATTAATCTTAATAATATTAATTGAATATACAAATAAATTATGTACAATGCAACTGCCCACCACCCACTGACAAATGCCCATCCCTAGCTAGTAATCCCAGAGGAGAGATTCTGGAACTGCAATCCGGGAGAGAAGGAGTGCTTCCCAGCCAACCCTCATATATACCGAGCATGATGTCACATGATATGGAATATTCCATTGCCCAGTTTGGATCCCTCCCAGCTTCTTGTGCACCTGTACACTAACAAAGCACGGGAAGTTGAAAAGTCCCCAATTCCTTAGCAACAACTAAAAACATGATTACATTATCAACACTCCCCTCACACCAAATCCCTTACCAAATCCAAAACATAGCGCTATTCTAGCTACTAAGAAGAAAATTAGTTCTTTTCCAGCCAAAACCAGGGCAATGCGTAGGGTCAGTCCTATTTCCCCACTGAGTCTCCTGTCACTTGAACTGGATCGTATGCTTACAGTAAACACTGGTTAGTCACTGTGAGGCTACATTTCTTTTTGCCCCAGGCAGCAGTTCTCTTTTCCTTAGGTTTTTAAGGTTTGTTTTTTTTTTTGCTTGGTTGTTGTTGGTTTTTTTGTTTGTTTGTTTGTTTGGGACACATCTTGCAACACCAGTCCTATGAATACTATGTACTACTAGGGTATTAAGCAAGACTGTCCCAGGTTGTCAAATACAGGTTTTTTTAACTCCTCTGTGTGCACGTTTGTAGACACATAGTTTATATAAAAGGATGATATAAATAATGTTTTGTTGAATGTTTCTACTGCTGGGAATTAAATGCAGTGTTGGGTTCCTTCTTGAAACTTGACACAGATGTTCTGGCAGCTTCTCTGTAAGAAGTGTATTGCCAGTCTGACCAGAGGTAGTTTGAATTTTGTAGAATAATGTGGTCATACTGAGGTAGCAATACACTTCATTGCAAACACCCAAATGCCTTGGATCTCTACACAAGCATGTGAGCCTGCCCTGTTTTCATGGAGTATTATGAGCAAATTATGGCTTTGAACTGAGATGGGGAAAGAGACATAAAATATGAGTATAATAAGTTAGGCCTTTTTGTTTTTCCTTCACTGTTCAAGCTGTTCCAAAAAGGGCATGCCTTCCTTGGAATCCAAAACTGTGATCTATCAGGCTGTTTGTAAAGATTTTAATCTGTTTTAATAAAATCTAAGTGACATGTCACCATTAAGATATATCAGCTCTGAGGCTAGTAACTCCTGTAACTTACACTGCATGAAAACATACATAGTAATTGCTTTTAACCACCACTTTAATCACATTTCCATAAGCAAAAGATAAGCATACTTTATAAAGCGTACTTTCAGTCCAACAAGCTAGGTGCTAACACTTTAAAGCAAGTCACCCAGAATCAGGATTCATTTACAGAAGCATCTTCCAGCCACAGCCGTGCTTCACACAGGTAAAGTGACTTCCTATTATACCATTAACCTGCTTTCAAAGCTTTTAAGTAATGGGTACTGCCAAAAAGCAGATGCCAAGTTACACAAGTCAGCTTTGTCTCTAGATGTTGGGATAACAGTGGTACACAATTACCACATTATTTTCTTGCTGAAGCAGGAAACATAAAGAAGAAATTAATTATCTACAACAATGGTTTTCAACTTGCAATATGAGTATCCCTGTTGTCGATTACAGCTTAAGGGTCCTCAGCACATGCCTAAGAAAAGCAAGCCTACTAGCCCTCAGTATCCACATCACAACAGATTTTTTACTTTATTTAAAAACAACCAAAGTGGCCTGCTTATTAAAAAAATTCCAAAGAAAACTTCCAACTATCTGCAAGCTCTCCACAGGAATCCAAACAACCTCCTATTAAACTTCTGTAAGAAGTTAGTTTGACTTCTCTTTCACTAAACTCAACTTTACCTTTACTGAATCATGCATCTTTTAATTTTTATCAAATAGTTTGCTTCACAATTATAGCAAACATCAGCTGATGAGTACATCATAAATAACCTTCTGGCACTGTGCACGTGGAACACAGACAAGGAGAAAACAGTACTGGTGTTCTTGTAAACACAAACTAAATGCTTTGTTTTCAAGACTCGCAAGCTTGAAGATGTTATACTCACTTGGCCAAGTTTTGCTTTCATTTGTATATATTTTTGTCACAATAATGGTTCATACAAGTTCCTTCCATACAAATAAAAATGAGCACATTCACTTGTTTGTATAAATAAAAAGCAATTAAGCCTTTGCAGAAGTTCACCATGTACTGTTTTGTATTTTTGTATCTGTTGCATTTCATTCCTTTGCAATTACTCCTCTTCTAGCAAAGGCGCAGTCGGTGGTGCAGTAGCTGATTGTGTAAGATTCACTTTTATATAAATATGCTTATTGCTAAGAGTGCAATACACCTGCAGTTAACAAACCCTTTTTTCTTTTCATAAAACCTGTGCTCCCCCCTTCAACTCTCACCCATCCTTTTGACAATCAACACTTACCAACAACCAAATTTCTGGTAAAACTGAATAGTACAGTGCAGAGGCCTTGAAAATGTGGGAGATGAATATTTTTTGTCTGACTGCACTTTTGCTGTACCACTCCTTCTCTTAGCCCAAGTCAGCCAAGAGTTTGTGGGCAGGAGGAGGGAAGAGAGCAGGAAGAAATAAGTACACTCTGCTCAAGTGGACAGGATCTAAGAGACAAAACAATGTTAAGCCAGACATGTTTCGCAGCACATACTTTAGCCATGTCCTCCCACACAGCATTAGTTTTCATTTGGCGTGCAGACTGTAACTGATTCTCATCTTCTCTTCTGCATGATTTAATATGAAGTACTTACTGGAGTATTATTAGGACTTCAGGGAATTATAAAAATGGACAAAGTGGAAGTAGCACACCAGAACGATAGCATTGTTCCACTCTGCTCTTTACAGCATGAAAGTGCTGGAGGAAAAGGAAAAGCTTAAAATAAATAAAAATACTGTATTGCCATAAATGCTTCAATTTAAAGATCAAACAAAAAACCCCAGAGGTTTAAAATTATCAGTGTTAACCCAAATGGAATAGCAACCTACTAGCCTCAGACCTAATTTTTTACCCCTCCTTAATTTTGCAGAAAACATCCGTACAGCCTCATAGGTCGATATTAACACTCACTACAAATATTCCACACCTGTATTCTCACAGTGAGACCCTCTACCATCTGTTTTCCCATCCCAGCTGACAGGAGTACAGATTCTCCAATTCTTATGCCCATCTGCTTCCTCAGGAGACCAGCTGCAATACTAGAGCACAATCATAAAAAACCCTAGGTGCTCAAGTTCATACGTTTAAGTGGAGGCATTGACAGATCCAAACATTAGGGAATGTCAATATCCCATACAGCATTCTTGAGAGTACAGAAAGACCCTTCTCCTTTACAATCACACAAGTGTATCTTATTTCCTTCACCATCACTATATACTACCTCTATCTATATAATTTGGGATATAAGCTTGGTTTGATTGATTACCATGCTTGGGAATGTTTACACTAAATTGGCTTTGTTTCCTTTGTGACTACATAGCATATTATTTTTCTAGGGTTGTTGATTAATATTTTATCACTAAAACATGGTAAGAGGAAAAAGGAGTATTAAAAATTAAAACAAGAACAACACAGACTTTTAAAACCAAAATAGATGGAATGAATTTGGGGTATGCTAACCCCAACTGTGTTTCATGTACAGTAAACTTTCTAGTTGAGTGTCAGATTCCCTTTTAGGAAAATATAAACGTAACAGATGGTCATCTTGGAGAGAAAGAAAACACAACACACACAAAACAATCACACAGCAACACAAATCCAACAAGAAACCATCAAATTTAATAAAAGCACTATTTGCTCAAGAAGAGACAGCTTCGTAATTCAATAAAGTATTTAAAAGAAACCTAATGGATGGGCTTTCAAAAATAATTCATACCACAGAAAGAAAAGAAGGCATTTAACTGCCATTTCTTTCAAAGTAAAAACACATATGTTGCTCTGGTGGTGAGGTCAGGGAGTTCATTGGGAGTCCATAAACCTATTTCTGAAGCCAAAGAAAAAGGGCGGGCAGCACAGGTTTTGACCCCCTCCAACTAGAAGATAAAGTTACGTCCAACAAACAGGCAAATTTGTGAAACTGGAAGGGAAATGGGAATTCTCATTCTAGTC